TGCCTTCTCTCTTATCTCCTCGTAATTGGATCTCTTTCATCATTTCTGGTACATGGTACTTTTCCCCCTTTCTTAGTTTTGTTTGTACTATTTTTTCCTCAGGCTTTTCTCTGGCTATTTTCCTGCATGTCTAGTTAATCTTTAAATTAAACTATTCCAACCACATAAACTCTACTGCAGTTAATCAAGCTGCATAAACAGCAGCTCTGTTTTGCTGTTACACTCTTCATCAGGGTCACTAGCCAGCTCAAATTTTGGCCTCTTTTCTGAAACCTCCTGTGGGCTGAAAACGCCTCTCGCATTGGTACTGCAGTAGGACAGTCAGTAGCTTAACACCTGACACCTTAAATCTCTCTCAATCCAGCACCCAAGATCTGGCAAGAAATACTTGCTGAACTGCACTGAATTAAACCCGGAGGCTTGTGGATTATGAAGGGTAGAGACACAGGCTAGTTCCTAGTGTAGCTATTTAAGAGAAGTAGAGAGCTAAAGAGGGTGGCCCGCCATCTCCATGACAGCGCGGAGCCATTATTGGGTTTCTGTATGCTCCTGCCACAGGGGATCGCTTTGTCAACACAGCCGGTGGTGGGGCTGTGCGGGGCTCACATGTCCTTGTCTGTATGGTCCTTAGATGCTTTTCTTGAACTTTCCACCCTCAGCCTGGCCTGCTGCTGCATGTGGCTGGTGGCACTGTCGCACGGACATCCTGGCAGCAGACTGTGGGTGGTATAAGCAGGTGTCATTCTGATGTTCTGAAGTTAGGTTTCTCTTTGGGAGTCTAGATGCCTTTAAAAAATCCTCATGAATGATGGATTGATGAGGACTTGACACTGAAGGGATAAGGAAGGTTTCACTCCAGATGGTGGTCTTTGGAAAAGGAAACTGATGCTGTCAGATTTGGGAGTTTTATACAAATGATCGCAACAGAAAGACTGATTTTGCTGATCATTTCCATAGTTCCCATCCTATGTCTTCATTTCTCTCCATCCCCCCCCCGTCCCTCTCTCTTTCCTTCCTTTCTTTCTCTTTCTCTTCCCTTCCTTCCCTCTTCTACTTTCTTTCCCTCTTCCTCCCTTTTCCTTCTTCTTCCTCTTTTTCTTCCTCTCCTTTCTTCTCTCTCCCTCTTTCCCTTTCTTTCTCTCTCTCTTTGTGGTACTGAAGATTGAAGACAGGGCATTCACAATATGCAGCATTCCCCACCTTTATAAGTTTTATTTTGAGACAGTCTTGCTAAATCACCCAGGCTTGCCTTGAGCTCACAGTCTTTCTGAGTCAGCCTCTCAAGTAGTTGGGGTACAGGTGTGTGCCACCATGCTCATCTCTGCTCTATTTCATGGCCTTACCTTTGGAGACCAGGGGAAATACTCACCCAGCTTTTTCTCATTGGTGCCAACATTCTGTTCTGGCTGGATTTTGTGCCTTGCAAATTCCCAAAATTGCAGTATATATGGAGACAATTTGTTGTCGTTGCCTATTTTATCTGGACACTTTTAATCATACCTACTTTTTTAGTAAGAAAAATTCTTGCTTATTCACAGGCTTTCACTTGATAATAGGTAGTTACATCTCTCAAATCCTTAAAATATCACCTCATCTGACTGTATCCACTTACAATTGCCAAAGAGCAAGTTCTCCAGCTGAATCTGCAGTCCACAATGATTACACTTCTTGTTGGCAGGTGGTGCATAGTCCATACTACATTTTAATTTTTATCTCACTTCTCTTTCTCTCCTCTTTACATCTTTTGCTCTCCTTCCCTTTTGCAAAAGATTACTTTGCTTTTTCCTATTATTTACCTTTTGTCGTGCTCTTTATTTATACTTTGGGCTTCTCACATAAAAGAAAACCTGTAATATTTAAATGTGTGTCTGATTTATTTCACTTAATATTATGGTCTCAACATGCATTCATTTTCCTAAAATGACTCTAGTTTATCCTTAGTTATGGTAGAGTAGTACTCCATTGTGTGTAAATACCACATTTTCTTTATCTGTTCATCGGTTGATGGACATATAGGCTGCTTCCAAGATTTAGTTACTATGAATTGTGTTGCTAAAATCATAGATATGCATGTATCACTGTAACCTGATATATTTAACTCTTTTGGGAAGATACCTAGTAGGGGAATAGCTGGATCCAATGGAATTTCTTTTTGTTTTTTGTTACTGGGGATTGAATTCATGACCTTGTGCTTGCCAGGCAGGTGCTTGTGCCACTGAGCTAAACCTCCAGCCTCTCTTTTCTCGTTTTTAAATTTAAATTTTTATTTATTTATATTTTAAAGAGGTTAAAGCTAAGGAAAATAGAACAAAACCAATCAAAACAAATAGTGTGATACAGGATTTCAAAACATTACAAAATCAACAATAGTTACCATAATGCCTCCTGTTGTCTTCAAAATAGCTGCAGATACCTTCAAACATAGTGAAAATCAGAACAGAGCAGAATAGAGCCAATAAAAACAAAACAAAGAATAGAATAATAGACTGCAAAACAAGACAGTAGTAAATCCAAAATGGCTACTGTAATATATCTTGCTGTCTTTGAATAGCTGCTTCTGCCATCGGGTACAACAAAATCAAACAAAACAAAACCCAGTGCAACAGAACAATGAAAATGATACAGGACTTCAAAACAATAGCAAATTAACAATGGCCACCACCTTCAGAAGGAGATCCTCCATAGATGCCACACTGCATACTGCTATCCTCTGAATAGATAATCAGACCACCAGCCCTAGACCTGCAAAGTCAGTGAACCACAAGAATCAAATTATACTTCACTTCGACAGCTGTCATTGCACCTGTGCTCCTCTGGGTCAGCTCGTTGCCCGTGTGTGTGTGTGTGTGTGTGTGTGTGTGTGTGTGTGTGTTGGTTGGTTCTTCATGCTTGCCAGCCTGTGCCCCAGAACAGGCTTGGGGTCCGGCTCCCTTCCCCCAGCAACCCATGCATTGTCCTGGTTTGCAGGGATGGCTTGCTTCTTGGTGAGGCCTTGTTCTCTCCCCCATGCAGTAGGCACTCAAATGAAATTTCTAATTTTAGTTTTTTCCAGGAACCTTCATACTAATTTCCATAGTGATTACACTAGTTTTCATTCCAGCCAACAAAGTAAAAGGGCTCCTTTCCCCTCAGAGCCTCATAAGCACTTGTTATGCTTGATTTCTTGATGATGGCCATTCTTTGTGAGTAACACAGACTCTCAGTGTTGTTTTAATTTACATTTCCCTAATGACTGGAGACACTAAATTTTTTTCATGTATTTATTGTTCATTTGTATTTCTTTTGAGAAATGTCTATTGGCTATCACTTTTTAAATAACTCTAGAAAATGACTATAAAACAGTTACCGTTTTGTTGTGATTTGATTTTTCTCCATCTGCCTCCTGGTTAGGCACAACCGAGCTTGCAAAGTGGTAACCTTGGACAGCACCTGGCCCCTAGACTTGTTTCATTTGTTTGTGCAGGACCTAATATGTTGGGAGGTAGTTTCTGGTGAAAGATTTCATACAAAGCCCCAGATTCCCAACTTCAGAAGTCATTTTTTACTCAATGACAGTCAGCTGGAACTCGGTAGTAGTTTGTATCTAAACCAAGGAATTTGCTCAACAGCCCACCATGGCCTGTATAGTTTTGTTTATTACCTACTTAGCCCAGAAGCTATTTGAGTTTGAGACCCTTGGCCCAGCCTCTTTCTCCCATTATTCCCTTTTCAGTGTTCCTTTGCTGTCCATGTTGGCTCTGGGGTTCCCTCCAGTGAGGGAATATTTATATTCAACTCCTCACTGATTTCCACTGCTCCGTCCTGCACAGCAGCTCTCTGCTCTCCCTGGATATTATGGTTTGTGTCTAGATGTCTGCCCAAAGTCTCATGCAGTCATAGCGGGGTGGGCTTTTCAGAGGTACTTGAATCTCCAGTGTGTGATGCTAGGATTAATGGTGTGTGATTAGTTCATTGATTAGTTTGGCACCACCCTAATCCCCAGCCTGGATAGAGTATAAAAGGAGCAGGAAGACGCTGTTAAAGTTTGGTTGTTGATTCTGCTGCCTTTTGCCCACCATGGACTGTTCTCTGCAAAGCCACCCTGCCCTGGAGCCAGCCAATTATGGACTAAACCCTCTACAATCTGTGAGCTAAAGAAATCTTTCCTTCCTTACCTCTGGGCGTTGAGTATTTTGTTTCAGCTAAGACACTGGGGAGCTCTCACTTCATTTCCTGTAGAGTCTGAATTGAAGCAGTTGGGCAGCTGTACACTGATCTCCAGGTAAGTGGTGGGGATTTACACTGGCAGGACCCTGGCTTGCTGGCTAGAGGTGCTGCTTCTGGGTGCCCAGGCTCCTGGGCCTAGCTCTGCAGTCTTTTTCTTTCTCATGAACTTTCTGGAGTTGAGCTTGACTGCAGTCCAAAATTAGAAATAAAGCAGGATAGGGGAGGGAATTGTTTTTACACTCAGAGAACTATGGGTTTTTTGCATAAGAAAAATTATGATAGTAGCAAGTTGCGTTATAATTTGCCTTAAAGTACCTTCTTGTAAATCATTCTTTTACCTTCCATTATGGCCTGATGAAGGATATGTTATTATTGCTGTTCTTTTGCAGATGAGCCTTAGGGGAAGCACTGGAACTCTTATTCAATAGTGCGTAGTCTCTTGGCCCATCAGGGCCTCAAGGTACTTATGCTTTTTATTTTGTAATTTAAGAAAATTCTTCATTACTGCATACTGTGTGGCCACAATTTGAAGGCTGAATATTTTCTTGTATATGTACATACTTGTAGATGGAGTATAGCACATAAGAAAGAGCATCTTGGCTACAAGTTATCCTATCCGTGGATCAAAAATTTCTAGTACTACTTATGCTAATAAGTTTCTCAATTGAAACTTTCTTCTACTTGAACTATAAATATTAAAAATAAGTACATTTTTAGTAACAAAAAGAGGCTTTGGCACTTTTAAATATTCAGAAACTTGCAAATCATGATCTTTTTTTGTATATATCCATACTATTGCATTCCTAAATTTTAAAATTCAAATTTAAATTTACATTTATAAAAATCTAGTCACATCTGAATTACAATGAAATGTATGGGCTTGGTATACTACTACATTTAAAGTGCCCGTGAAAATAAATATGTAACTGCTAGTTTTGTTTTAAACTTTTGTATTATCTAAAATTATGACACATTGCCATACTTTGGGAAACTGCTTCTTTGCTTTGGAAATTATGCCAATTGCAGCTCTTTGATTTAAAAAAGTAATCATTATTATTTTCATTATATATATTTATTTGGTACAATTTGATAATTTGTGTATACAATGTAAAATATATGTTGATTACATTGACTAGTTAACATTTCTATCTTTGTAAACAAAATAACTTATTATCATGTAATAATTGTACATACTTATGGGGCATAGGGTGATGCTTCAGTAAATATACATACTGAATTAAATCGGGACAATAAATGTTTATCTGTTGTGATTTGTATCTAGCTGTCCTCCCAAAATTTCGTGTGGTCATAGGTGGGTCTTTTTGGAGGTGGCTGGATCTAGAGTATGTGATGGTGGGGTCAAGGATGTGATGCAGGGATTGATTCACAGTGCAATGCTAGGATTAAGGGCACCCCACTTTGGGTGAGAGCGCTACCTGCCCTAAGGCTAGCCTGGATGAAATATAAGAGATGGAAATAAGGATGCTGTGGTCCTTGCTTTTTGGTTGTCACTTGCTGCTTTGGTGCCTCCTTCTCTGTAATGCCCCTCTGCCATGCCACCCTGTGCTGGAGCCTGCCAACTATGACTGAATCCTCTACAAACTATAAGCTACAACAAAACTTTTCTTCCTTAATTTTGGGTGTTGAGTGCTTTGTCTCAGTAACAAGAAAAAATAACTAAGACATTATCATTACTTTATCTTTGGACTCTCATAGCTTCTCTTTTCTAGTTATTAATAAAGTGTATAAAGAAGTCTTAGTCACTGTCTTATCACTGGATACAATATTTGATATCCATAAGTAAAAGGAGAGGCTGACTCATGGCTTTTCTGGGATTTAGTCTATAGTGGGCTGGCTTCGAGGTTCAGAGGGGATGGTGGAAGGGTCTGGTGAAGCTAGTCATGGCAGCTCGACAGTGAGAGCAAAGTCAGGAGCCAGGTGGGAGATATGGCCTTCCGGGTCTTACCTGTCAATGGCCCATATCTTCCAACAAGACTCTGCCTCCTAATAGCACATTTAACTCTCAATTCTTCAGTGGAGTAACCTGCTAATCAGTATAGTATTTCCATGATTCAATCACCTTTTAAACCCTACCTTTAAATATCTGAGCCTTTTGGTGGACATTCTAGATCAAAACTGTAACCATAGATTATTGTGAAGTATAGTTACTCCATTGTGCGGTAAAATACTAGAGCTCAATTCATTTTATCTAACTGTGTTGGTGTGTGTTATTCCTATATTAATGTGTCAATAGTGATATTCCCTGGCTTTGTATTGTAAGTGTGAGAGGAATTAGGTAAGAACATGGAACAAAACCATTTTGGGGGCCTTGGTCACATCTGTGCAGTTGTCAATCTGTTGGGCCTTTCTGCAGTTAAGAGCTGGTGGAAAGGCAGAGAGTGCTGAGCACATGTGATGACACATGTCCTTTTAAGGGCCAGTTCCTTCTAGTGATTCTTCCTCAAGGTTGGAGAGTTACATTCTTCAACTTGATTTGTGATGAAATAAAAATTGTCTCTGGTTGAAAATGTCTACGTCTAAAAGCCCACAGTAAAAACCATCATATGTGTTTTTTCTTATCCAGGATGCTGTCTTCTAGTTTCAGACAGAGTAAAAATATATTCTTTATATCTTAGGTATTGAGTTTAGGTGCATTTTAGATTGCAGTGCTAATTTATTTTATTTATATGTTTAGACTTTGAGCCTTTGGAACTCAATAAAGCAAATTCATGCAAATCATAAGCTAGTCATTAATTTGAACAAAAGGTTTTGATTTCTTTTCTGAAAAAATAGATTCCAAGTACTGAAGAAAAACTGAGAAACATTTTGTATGTTTATTTAAATAAATTTGCACACTGAAAATAATGCCTAACACCAACAGGAACTGTTGCAGTTTATGAAGAAGACATTCATGTTATCTGGATCCCAGTTTTTCCCCAGGAATTGTGCCTATAACTTGAGTTATCTATGTGAATCATGTTGGTGGGGGGAGGTGGGGCCATCTTACAAGATTCAGACCTGGGTCAGTAAGAGCTGGGGGATGCTTGTTGGATTAGTTGGAGAGAAGCATCTGACATTTCAGCCTTTCTGTATTAACTTGGTTCTTTGAAAACCAATAAAACACAAAAGTAACATTTTTAATACATTTGCTTAAAAGCTTTTGTCCTTATTTTGTTATGTTTACTCACCTTAAAAGCCATTTCAACCTTCTGAAGAATAATTTGTAATTAGAAGTGATTATATTTTTTAAAATGTATGCCTTTGGTCCAGAATAGTTCTCAGAGGATATGCTGCTCATATAAATACCAGGGTGCACACAGAACTTGGATTAATAGACCGCGAAGGGCTATTTTTAGGGAGAGTTTAAGTGCATATTATTGTTATTCCTACATTGTATTAATAATATCCTACATGTGTCTAGCATGTATATTGCATTTTATTACTGTACAGCTTGCCAGTGCATATATTATCTCATTTGTTCCTCACAACAGCCCTGGGAAGGAAGTTGGGTTGTTTTTAAATTGTTGACACTGAAGTTCTTTGCTTGAGTTGAAGTCTCAGTAATGTCAGGGATAAAAAAGATTCTATAGAACTGCAAACATTCTTTTCAGTATATTTTTGCCCAGTGTTATAGAAAATGCTCAGATTGAGTTAAGAAATATCTATTCCTGGTGAGGTACTATAGCTCATTATTTCCTTTACCTGGTAGGAGGAAGAAAGAGAAAATGACATGAGTCATTTCAGAGGAGAAACTTCGGGATTAAGGAATAAATTTGTTTCCCACTTCACAATTAGTAGCCAACTTTTGGGTTTCTCACTGAACACTGTTCTATATCCTTCCTGGGCCATTCGTACATGTGCCACTTTCACTACTGAGATTGCCAGAGGAAATAAAACTACAGTATTTTGCTGAAGTTAATAGTGACTTACTCTGGGCTTATGTAGAATTTAGGAATATTGTAAAATTTCCTATTTTACCAGCAGAAACATGGGGAAGCAATGACAACAAGCTGTGGGGTATGTTGATAGCTAAGCTGAAATCGTACTACCAGGACTTCTTGGAATCTGGTCTGGAAAATACTTAAATAATTTATTGTAATGATTATTTCTATAGGACTCAACTTCAGGATTAAATGCTAATTTTATTTGACTTACATAAAGAGAAATTATTACTGCAGTTACTTTTAAAGAGCTCCTTGGGTTTGCTGGGAGTACCTGAATTAACAGTAAATTGAGCTCCATTATGTATTAATGGGTTCAGGTGATTTATTGGTGGTATATCTGGCAATTAGCCATCCTGCATAGTGTCTTCTGTTTGACCCTTCTCTTTTTCACTATGTACTGAGTATGAGTGTAAGGATGAGTGCCTTGAACCAGTGGCGTAGTCTGCCCATCCACCTGATACGGTCTTTCATTATTTTAATGGAGAGTTACGATCTGTTTTGAAGGATATTTGGACACACTTAATACCTTTTGGATGAAACCATTGGAGGCATAAATGAGAGTACATATTGTCATTGAACTATTAAAAATCTTTACTCAGTCACCAGATAGCCATTATGTTAGATAAATCACATTAGATATTTCCTTTATTTTTTAAAATTATACAGTTGCTTTTAGCTTCTGCGGCACTTATACAAGGAATTTCTCTGAGTGGACTGCAGCACAGTGAGTTATAGCCAACAGCATTATTTGCAAGAGTCACTTTGGGGTGCCTAATTTGTCCTCAAGAGAAATATTTTTTTGCTCAGCCTGCAAAATGTTGTAATAAAAATTGGTGATTGATGTTGATTATAAGATTAAATGGCTCGGCCACAGTGCTAATGTTATAAATCAGTAGAGTCCAAAGTTGTGATTGGCCACTAGAGAAGGTTTTAAGTGAGTGCTTTAAAAAAATGAGTCAATATATTTCAAGTCTTTATAGTATTGACTCCTTAAGTTTATTGAAAGTATATTTAAAACATTCTATGGTGTGTCGAATAAGTTGCTAATACAATTTGGTTTTGCTTATCTAAGCGTGGAAGAAAATATATGAAAATATATGAAAAACTCTTTTCTAGAAGAGAAAGCATGTGGGAATTATTAAGACCAAGTTAATTACTTGATGTGTTAACTGGAGAAGTTTTCTGTTTGATTGCTCAGATTCATGTCTCTCTCGGTCTGTCTCTCTCTCTCTCTCTCTCTCTCTCTGTCTCTGTCTCTCTCTCTTTTTTTTTAACATTTCGTAGGGAAATGTTAAAAGAGAGGAGAAAGGAGCCCCTCCCATCATCTATGGTCTGGTGCCATCTTTCCTTGTCAAGGGGCTAATCTCTGTTCTTTGGGTAATATAAAGATATCCAGCATAGCTAGATAGATGCCTCACTTCAGGTTGATAAAAAAGAAGGGCAGAGAGGTTAAATCAGGAAATATAGGCTGGGACTTGGCTAGATCGTCTGAAGCCAGGATACAATCTTGCGGCAGGCAAGGGGTCTGAGAAAGGAAGGGAAGCAATGGTGATTGTACGAGACAGAGCTGAACAGCAGCTCTCCAAACTGATCAGGGTTGGAGCGAGGGATGAGAGCTTGCCAAAATTAACTAAGGAGATCCCACAAAAGATGAAAATCTAGATGCTCTACTGGTCACATAAGTCCAGACCAAATACATGCTGAGAAGGAACTACACAAGAATATGAATACATAGAGGCATGATTTGTGTGTGTATGTATTTATATGTGCATACATGCCTACATATTGGAGATTTCCACCATAAGCATTATGATTTATTTTTTCTAGTTGACACCCATTACCCATTGAAAAAATAGGCAATCTTTGACTGAACCAGTACATTTGTATTTCTACAGTTGGATTTAATATTCCTTAAAAATAGACTTTTTGCAAAAGTACCAAGATTACTTCTAAATAAAGAAATCTATTTTTTTGTCAGAGATTTACTTGAATAAGACTTAATTTTAGAAAACAGTTACTGAAAAGTTAATCATATTGATGCTATCTAGAGAGGAGTTTGGGTAATATAAAGACATTTTATACTGACATAGATATGGATATACTTGAAGTTAGATTTTCAATAAAGAAGATGGAAGAGAATAAATGAAAGATGAGGAAAAAGATCAACAGGGGAAAAGCTGGAAGAATCACATAGTGGTCTGAGGGCGCGGGGAGAATGCACTTGAAAGAGTGCAGAGCTGTATTCGCTGATGCCTGTCCAACAGGGTTAGGATGGAAACAGGAGATTCTGGAGTGTGAGCTTTGTTTTCTGAAACGCGCTTAACCATTTCTTATGATTTTTTGTTAATAAAAATGATTTAAAAATTTTTTTCAGTTACTATGCTTTCTCTTGTTATTTTCAATAGAATTGTCCACATCATCAGACATGATATAATTGAACATAGCATTACATAGCTATTTTAATAAAAACACAACTTTGGAGACATTGTAGGACTTTGAAAGCAGTTAATAATCAAACCAGAATGAACATCTTATTACATCTTGTCATCTTCAGAGTAGTTGCCTTACTCTTAGACTTGATACTATCAAGCATACCAAATTTGAATAAAATCAGTCAAGGCAAAATAGCAGTCTAACAAACCAGCTTCAAATAAGATCAGTCATAGGAAGACAATGTAAGTAATACAGGGCTTCAGTTTAAGTTAATAGGAAATTAAGGATTGTTACTGGGGTATAGTCTATAATTTTTGAGATAGCTGTCTGTGCCCTCAAATCTAGTATGAGTAGACAGACTGAAACAAAATAAAATCAAACTAAACAGAGTGATAAGACTACTGTGGCTTTGTATATTCAGGATGCTTTGTATATTTTGGGTTCCACTAGCTCCTTTAGTTTTTAGATTAGGGGGCCAATCCATTATCTATCTGAGTGGTGCTGAACCATTTTACCCCTGAGCTTGATCTTGAGCTGCACTCCTTTACTTACTAAAGCCACAAGGTTTTCCTTCTTAATAGCTGTGTAGTTCTACACTGCACAAAAGTGTCATAACTTTCCAACCTATCTGCGGCTGCTGGACAAGTTGTCCCTATTTCTATCTGGTGCTCTGTCACACAGAGCATTGTTTTCTCATCTTTGACTTTCAGTTTATTAATCTCTTTCAGGTTCAATGTATTTCCTATTCAGAGCATCTTGATGGATCCTGCCTCTTAATCTACTCTGCCTGTGTTTCTTTTTGTTAGTGTATCAAAGCTATCTATATTAGAGATTATAGCCCACCGTTTCTTCCTCATCTCTGCTATTATGTTTTTCTGCTATTATTTGTCCACTTTTCTTCTTCATTCCACTGTCTGCCCCATTCATTAAGGCCTGTCTGCCACTGTTGCTGGAATCCTGGTATTTTTTTCTCTCCCTCTCTAGAATGTCCTTCAGTATTTTTTGTAGGGTTGGATTGGTGGCCGTGAACTGCCACAGTTCCTCTTTGTCTTGGAAACATCTTATTTCTCCATTAATTTTGAGAGTGAGTTTTTCAGGGCACATCAATCTAGATTGGAGGTTATTTTCTTTCAGGGCTTGGACTATTTCCCCCCAGGCTCTTCTCGATTTGATAGTTTATGTTGATAAGTCTGTCATTATTTTGATGATTTTTCCTTTGTAGGTAATCTGCTTCTTTTCTCTGGCCACTTTTAATATCGTTCTTGTGGTGGATTTCTGGGATCTTGATTATTATATGTCTAGGTGTAGATCTGTTTTGGTTTTAGTTGGTTGGAGTTCTGTATGCCTCATTTATCTGGTATCATTTCTTTTTCCTATGCTTGGGAAGTTCTCCTTAATTATTCCTGTGTATAGTCTTTGTAATTCATTTGTGGTTACTCCTGCTCTTCGCTCATGTTTTTTATTCTTAAAGTTATAGATCCTCTTGTCATCTTCTAGCCTTTGAATTGTTACCTCCTGGTTCCTTGTTACTTTTAATAGGTCTTTTCTTTCAGGATCACACATTGTAAATCTCTCTTCAAGTTTTGAAAGGCTAACTTGAGTTTATGTCAAGGCATTTTGCCAGCTTTCAATGGAGTTTTTAGTTTCCTGTTAATTTCTTTGGATCTGTTTCATGTATTCTAGATTTTGTTTATATTCTTCACCAAAGGTTTCTCTTCCTTTTCTGGGTTCCTCTGTTCTTCCATCTGTGTTTTCTTGAGAGGGGCTTAGCATTTCTTTAATTAATCTTTTTATATCTTGCCTCACTTGGATTAAAATTTCAGTTTTAAGTTCGTCTATGAGGTCACGAAGGTATTTCTTTATGTCTGCTGATGTTGTGGCCAATATTGCATGATTGCTGCACTGGTTCTCTTCTGTATTTACTTCTCCTGGGCTTATTTTCCCTGGGTCAGCAGCTGGAGGCTTTCTCTTGTTTCTTTCTCTTGTCATGTTTCTGGTTTCTTTCAGACAGGTGTATGGTGGAGATCTCAGGCCCTCTCTATATCGCTTACAGTTTTTCTGAAGCATGCAGGCTGGGGGCTTGCTGCCTTCTCCAGTTTGCTGCTATCTGAGATGCACACAGGGATGATGCGGGCTGGCCCCTCTTCTTTGAGCCAGTCAACTGGCAAGAACCCTCAGCCACTTAGGCTGTGCTGTGGTGGACGTTACGGATTCGGGACAGTTTTGTCCCTGGTTATTGGGTCCTGACCAGGGGCATGGCTCACCCCAAGCTCATCCCACCAGTTCTCTCTGGGCCAGGGATGGCTGACTGAGGCCACCACGATGCCGGGCTCTGTGCTACTCCAAGATGTCTTCCAGCCAGCCACACCCACCACAGGACCCAATTTTCAGCACTCACCGAGAAATAATGCCGCTCTCCATCTCGGCTCTACTCCACGCTGCACTGTGTCCTCCTGCCACGGGCCTGGGACTCACCAACTCTCCTTATCAGCAGCCTTCAGTGCAACCATGGATCATGTGACTCCACAGTGCCCCCAGCACAGCACGGGACGGGTCTCAGAGTGTGTCCGGCTCCAGTCCTCCACCCATGTTTTTCCTTCCTCTTCCCCTTTTTCTTTTTCCTCAGTTTCCTCCTGGGTCGTGAGAATCCCTCTCCCCTCATCTGGCCCTCTCCACGTTGTCAAATTCCAGCATCCGAGTTGTTTTTCCCAGAGAGGCTCTCTACCCAGCTACCTAGCAAGGTGCCATCTTCTTTCCCTCTGCAAAAGTGATATTTTTAGAAACATATTCCTTTAAGGTTATGAAAAATTTGGTTGTTGTCATAGCTCAAGTACATGGATGTAAGGGGACATTTGATTCTTTGGATATCTGTAAAGCTGCTTTTGCCCAGATCTTTCACTGATAGTTTTTCCTCTCTGAAGACGACAAGAATTTAGAACAATTTCTAATTCTGGTTCTAATTCTGGCCATTAAGGAAGTAGTGACTAAAGGAAGTATTGAGAAGGCCTCCATTGGGAAAGGATTTATGATTTCCAAATAGGGCAAGAACAAATGAGAAATGTCATTTCAATGGCATAATTCTTTTTTTTTTTTGACTGGGGATTGAACTCATGACCTCATGCTTGCCAGGCAGGTGCTAAGCCACTGAACTAAATCCCTGGCCCCAATGGCATGATTCTTAGAGAAGGAAGGATGTTCCATGTGATAGGGAAAATGTACAAAAAATATAATTCTGATTTTGAAGGTGGTGTCCTGGACATCTGCATCTTTCTCCTTTCACTGATCTCCATTAGCCCCTTGACTAATAATGGAAACAATAATAAAATATTATTTATTATTTATTGATATTCATAGTAGCAGCATTATTTTTATTTATATATGAAAACTATATTACTATTTTAATTGGTCTGTAATGTACATACAATACACACCAAAGATAATTTGTTTAATATTATTGCTAACTCACAAGACTAATCATTTGTTAGTCATAGAGCTACGATCTCTTTTTCTACAATTCTGGAGCTGACACATGACAGACTAATTCTTAATCATCTGAGTGAGCAAATGGGCCTCAAGAAAAAAAGAGTTAAAATTCCTAAAAGTTACTAGTATCAGAGGGATGTCTTAGTTAGTTTTTCTTCTTCCAACCCCCTAAGTTAAAGGAAAAAAGATATATTTGGTTGACAGTTTACAGATGCTTCAGTCTATAGAGAGCTGGCTCGAGAGTGGGATGGCCTGACAGAGGGGCATTATAGAGGAGAAATAGTACACAGAAGTGAGGCTAGTGAGAGCACGTTAATGTATTTATGCATGATATGTACCCCACGGCAGGTGTAGCACTCCCTTCTTTAATCTTAGCCAGAACTATGCCAAACCAATCAGTGGACTGATTTAGTAATCAAATGCCCTTGACCCCAGAACCACACACTCTAGATCCAGTTACTGCTGAAAAGCACCCCACGTGACCACATGTGGCTTTGGTGGGAGACATTAAGACACAAACCATAACAAAGGATGACAATCATAAGGCAGTTAGTGCATATCTGTAAGAATGGTCACATGAAAACTAAAATTCCAAGTGAGAGTTTAAATGATAGGGACTTTTTTTGTCAAAATCAGGTTCAGAGCAAGTAAAAGTCAGCATAGTGTTCAACGTTTAGCAAAATGTTTGACTGCACATATTGCTTTTTCTTTTTTGTGCCATGAGCTGTTTTTGTCCAAAAGTAGAATGGATAATGGTAAAAGGTATATTTGGAATTAGAGATGGGAGATGGCATTACACATGGATTTCTGAATTTTTAAAGTGGGGGCTTCATATTCAAGGCCATAAAATATGTGCTCATAGTTCCTTGAGCTGATCCTCATAATTGCTGAGAAATACTGTAGAATGAAGAAATCTCAGAGGTCTGGAGTTGGGCAAATTGTACACATTTTCCAATATTCAAATGCAGGAGTGGGCAGAAGGTTGAACTTACAAAATATCTGCCGGTGATCTCAGTATTGATTTCAAATAGACTTAGGAGTTAGTCTAGAACTTAATTGTTAAGGTTTACATCTAGATGTCCCCCTAAAGCCTCACGGGCTCATAGGCAGGGGTTTGGGGAGTTGATTGGATCATAGGAGTGTGATATCCGTCACTAGATTAGTCCACTGATGGGTTTATAGCTGGGTGTGGTATTGGGAGGTGAAGCCTTGTTCAGAGAAGATGGATCACTGGGTGTAGCCTAGATATACATAACCCTCCACCTCCTTTGATTTCTTGCTACTTCTTGTCTGCCTTGCCATGAACTGTTTCTCCTCTGCCACCTGACTTGCCTTGAAGCCAGCTGACTATGGACTGAAACATCTACAAACTGTGAGCCAAAATAAATTACTTCTTTAACTTGTGGGTGTTAGGCATTTTGTCCCAGCAGTGAGAAAGTAATGAAGACGTTGAGATAAGAAGCATCAAGATCCTGCAAAGAGTTCATGTCTAGTGGGTCTTATTTTCTTTATGATTGAGTCCTACTTAGCCTACAGATGAGAGAAGTATGGTAGGTATCACTAACCTGGACTTTGACAGGGCATAAGACATTTTTCCCTCTGACAATTGTTGTCAAATTATATATTCTGAAAACATTTATAAATTACATACCATGCATGAATTATAGAGGACTTAAAGGTTAACAAATATGCTGTTAAAGAATTCACAGGATTGGTAAAAGATAGTGCAGAAGTTAATTATGATATAAAACAAGGATTGGAAAAATATGATCCAGATCCAAATCCAACCTGCTACCTGTTTTTATAAGTATAATTTTATATGTGCATATGTGTGTGTGTTTCTAGGGATTGAACCCAAGGCTTTGAAAATTGAGCTGTAGCCCCAGGCTCTTAATTTATTGTTTGTTTTGAGACAGAAACTTGCTAAGTTTCCCAGGCTGGCTTAGAACTTGCAGCACTCCTGGTCAACCTTTTATGTCTCTGGAATTGCAGGTATGCTCTTCTGTACTCACTTTATAGTCTTTTTAGACAAATATTTAATTTGAAAATTTAACTGAAATATGAAAACATAAAATCATGTTAGTTTATAACATGAGATGTTTGGATACATATATGCTTTATGTAATGGTCATATCAGCATGAAAGTATCTATTTCCTCTAACAATTTATTTCTTTATAATATAAATGTCCAACAATTCCTTCTAGTTTGTCAGTAAGATTTTTTTTGGAATATAATCATGTTTATTCATTGTTATGTTGTCTATATCAACTTTTATGCTAAAGTCAAAGAGTTGAATAATTATAACAGGGATGACAGTAGTTGCCTCTTATGCACAGTTAATGTATTCTAAGATTCCTAAAAGACCCCTGAAATTATACATAGTAATGAATCCTATAATTTAATACCCTCCTTCATCTTGACTAACTTATCTGCACTATGGCCATAACTTATGCTGTTTGAGTTGCGAGAGCAAAATTAGCATGAATTTTTTTCTTTCTCACAATTTCATAGAAGATTTGCTCTTACAGATTTTTGCAACCTCAGCATATGATATTTTTTTCCTGTCTGTAAGTCAATGACTTTCACCTTTTCAGTTAAGGGAAACTCTTTTTGACACATGCAAATTGTCAGTATCACTACTCTTGCACGTTTGAGCTACTTTTAAATAAAATAAGAGTTAACTGAGCACAGCACTGTGATACCATGACGGTCGATATGATAACTGAGATGTCTATTAAATGATGAACGCTCACACACAATTTGCAGTGTGGACAGAAGAGAAGTCAATTAATTGTGATGACGGTATGCATTTCAGAAGGCTTCAAAAAAGCAGAACAATTTAGTTGGACCTTAATGTGGTGGTAATATTCTGAAGGGGCTAGCCTGCCCTGTGTTTTTTCTCTCTTCATGCTACAGTTTCCTTATTGGCTTTTGCTCTTTATTTCATTTTGTTAAAGTTGACTTTTCAGTATTTCATAAGGGTTTGATTCTATGTTTCTGCTTTGTCAGTTTGGATACAGAGAACAACAAAATGATGCATCTGTAAAATAAGGCAGGAAATGATATTGCCATGGTGAAGAGGTGGCCAGCATTTCTTCATGTAAGTATTAAATATCCAGGGAGGGGCACAGAGTGATGTCTGGAATAATGACCTCTAGTTGGGAGAAATGTGGTGCTGGAGTTTTAGAATCTAGCACATCTCTTCTCACATGAAGTGGCAAGTCAGGCAAGGCATTTGTCCAACATTATCAATAGGAAAATGAGAGACCCAGGTCTCAGGCCTGTTCCTTTGCTTATTGAGGCAGCTGAACAACTAAATATCAGTGTTTCTATTGCCAGCAACAGAAGTTTTCTGGATGATAGAATGTGAACACAGACGACATAAGAAGGTAAGGAAGACTTGGATTAAATTTCCCTTGTTAAGAGAGACTTGGAAGTTTCCTTTCCCAGTTGGGAAAACTAAGTGTATGTCACAGAATGAGGTAGAGGTGGCATCACCAAGACATGAGGCAGGAAGCAGTGTGCATTTGCTTGTCTTAAACTTTGGCCTGGGTTTATAGGGAAAATATTACTCAGGAGGAAAAACATGGTCATTTCTCCTCTATCCCAGCTGAAGACAGGACTCTAGGAACAAACATTCTAGAGTCACACTTTGAAAGAACCAGAATGGAACTTTTTTGGTTACTTTTTCTCATTGTTGAGACAAAATACCCGATGCCCAAAATTAGGGAAGGGAAGGATTTTTAGCTTACAATTTTTTGGAGGGTTCAGTCTATACTTAGCTGGCTCCAAGGCAGGATGGCATGGCTGAGGGGCAGCTGTTCATGGCATCTGAGAGCCGCATGAAAGGGCAAAAGGAGGAACACACTCCTTCTTCCCTCCCTTATACTGTGTGCTGCTTACTTGTCCCTGGTGGGTGCAGCATTCATACCACCAATCCCAGTGCTAGACAACGAACAAATCATAAATGCTAGATTCAGCCACATCCATGATTGCATGAGGCTGGCGGGGGAGGAACCGGACACAACCATAACAGGAGCTTACTCAGAAACAGGTAACCAGAAGAACGTGAAGACCAAGGGGCTTTTTATATGAGAAATCATAGAAGGAACCTTACTCAGACTGAAGAACAGTTGGCTCAGGGGGCACATACTAGCTGTTTTCAAATATTTGTCTCATGGAAATGGTTTTCGATTTGTATTTACTTAAGAAGAATTTGAATTAATTAGTATGTGGGGGTGGAGTTTTCTGACAATAGCGGATCTGGACCCTGCATAAGAAGCCTCAGAAAGATCTCAGTCTGGGCTAAACAGTTACATGGTGGTGCTTGATCAGATAAAGATGAAAATTTAGAAGTGGTACATGCAAAGCCTTGTCAGCTCTTTCATGGTTTGATCCTGCTAATAAGCAGTGGGTATGGCAAGACTGTACAAGTTGTATAGAGTTTAAAGAATCGATGCATGCAAAACTGTTTCTTTTCCTTAATTTTGTTTAATTCTTATCAATCTCTTATTAAAAAATGCTGGCTTTGAAATCCTGCCATTGAAGTTGTAGCCTTTTGTCACAGCTTCTCTTGGTGTGGGGTTGAATGTTCTTCTTAGCTCTTTAGACCAATGTGGTTCCAAAATCTCTTGAGCATCCATGACGGAGTGCCTTTGGGTATTATAATTTAATGAATCATTTCATTAACTGTATTTTTCTATAGCCTACTGCTGAAGCTGTTATCTTATAATTACAACTTACTTTCCTACAGAGCTTTCTTTCTGTTTCTGAGAGAAGCCAGAAGGAAATTGATACAGTAGTAAGAACTCTTGGCCTCTGTATTTCCCAGAGACTACTTTTTTAGATCAGTAGGAAAACTTTCTAATCTCCTTTCAATAACTGGGAGACCACCTTATTTTTACTTCCATCTTGCTTGGCATTATTTGAAATTTGCAGATAATTTAAGTACAATTGTTAAATGTATTCCTTAACCACTTCACTGAAGCTCAAACTCATAAACTTGGTTCAGAACACAGTGTCCTGTTTCAGGCTCTGTATCTCTTGTTAGTAACAAATCTCAGCCTAACTAGCATGAGTATTTCTAAAACACATCCCATGGAATTTAAATGATTATAAGAATAAACCTTAATGAATTTTCATCCCTTTATTTTATTTCTTTTATACTCTTACCTTTTTATCAGAAGCTCTTGGATAGGCCCAGAGCAATAAACAATGATGTGATATTCTGGAATCTGGGAGAATTACAGAAGAGCAGGTTTTGGTGGGAAGATTTTATTGTCTTTCAATGCCACTTTGGGATTGCTTACTTGACCCAGGGTCAGGTCTTACGTAAAAATTTTATCTTTGACACTCTCAAATCAAATAAGAGAACACCATCACAAAAGTCTAGATGGTCCTGTGGATTTTAGAAAAAAAGAAGTTATATGAGTTTAGGTCTGAAACCAAAGGAAGAAAGCTTTTCTTGTAGCCAAATCACTAGCAGATCTAGTGACAGCATATCCCACTTATTTTTTTAATGGTTGAGAACAAAAAAGAGACCTTAAACTGCTGAGAATAGTTTTTCTCTCTTATCAAATGAGTGCATGATATAGGTTAATCTGTCCAGTGTTGATGAATACCAGGTTTGTAAAAGGCTGACTTGGGCAGTATGAGAGTGCGAAGGTGATCCTGAAGCAATTCAGTTCCTGTAGAATTTGATAGCAAAGAGAAGGTTTTAGTAGTCAGAACAGGAAAATGTCTTTCTGCATGTCAGAGTAATTTCTTGGCTTTGTCTAAATGGAATGGAACCACTGGGATCATTATGATGTTACCTTGAGTGACAAACTGAACTAGACTTTGGTTCTGCTCACACAAATTTTTTTCCAGTGTATTAATGGTTGGCTGTGATTCACATACTCTTCTGACAAGATGACAAATGGAAAATATGGGATGTGACTAAAATAAGTGTGTAGTTTCAATTATTGCAATCTATTTCCCCGAGCTGATTGCTGTCATCAGGGACAAGGGGTGTATTTGGGGATGGAGGTGAATAGCTTTTTAGCTCATCTTTTATAACAAAATTTAACTCCAAGAAAAGGACTGAGGAGCCTAGGATTTAGCTGCCTGGCAAACATGAGGTAGTGAGTTTGATCCCTGATCAAAAAAAAATATATAAAATAAAATAAAATAAAATAAATTAAAAAAAAATAAAAAGGCCTGAAGCAAAGAGGTTTAGTTAATTTACTTTTTCCTCCCCAGAACTTAACACAAGAATTTTGTATGATCAGTTTGGGACAAATTTTCTGAGGCATTATTGATATATATAAACTGATCAGGAGCACTATAACAATTTATAGATGGGTTCCATAAGATAATATCAGTTTTGCCTCTTACTGAAAGTAACATTGCAATTATAGTTGTTCACATAAATCTTGTTTGTAAATATAACTATACATTCTGAAAAAAATTTTCCATAGAATGAATCTTTGGAAATTAAATAGTGTCTCTCTTACAAAGTCTAAAAACTATGACAAAAACTAATATTTATTATTAAAATATAATGATGTTCATAATGTATATTGTAGAGAACAAATAAAACTATATAAAGGAAAAAAACTTTTACATTGGTACTAGTCTGAGCTAATATTTGTAAATCTTCTTGTCCTTTTAAAAACAATGCATGTATGTGTGAATGTGCTTACATTATGATTTTATAATCAATAATGTTTTTATCATGATTTTTTTATCACTTTTATTGAAACTTGTAGAAAAACTTGCTATTTATTAGTGTGTACATAAGGAATTAGTATGCTATGTATTACTATGTATTGCTATATATTAGTATATACATAAGGAATACATTCATTGTAAGTAGTTGGTACATGTACATGACACATCTTAATTTTTTATGTGCTTTTCCTTTCTTCTCTCAATTTATTGATTCCCTTTCTATTTGCAAAAGATCTCTCTCTCTCTCTGTTTCCTATATCTATCTTTTATTTTGCTTTTTAATTTACTTATACCTTAGGTTTCTAATAAGAGAAACCATATGATATTTAACCTTATGTGTCTCATTTATTTCACTTAAAATTATGGTCTCAAGGTACATGTATTTTCCTACAAGTTACTCAGACTTATCTTTCTTTAGAGTAGAATAGTACTCTATTGTGTATAAATACCACAGTTTCTTTATTCATTTATCTGTTGATGAACATACAGTGTGCTTACAAGATCTATATTATGAATTGTGCTGCTGTAAACATGGATATGCATGTATAACTGTAACATGATATCTTTTCACTCTTTCTGGAATATACCTATTAGGTAAATAGCTAAGTCAAATCAAATTTCTACTTTTAGTTCTCTGAGGACTCTCCATACTGATTTCCATGGTGGTTGTACTAGTTTACATTTCTACTGAAAATATGGAAGAGTCCTTTATTCCCTGTGGCCTCACCAGCATTTTTAGTACTTGATTTCGTGATGATAGCCATTCTTTATGGGGTAAGGTGGAATTTCAGGGTTGTTTTAATTTGCATTTCTCTAATGGCCAGAGATATTGAACATTTTTCATGTAATTAATGGCCATCTGAGCTATTTCTTTTGAAAAGTGTCCATTTCAGTTGCCCACTATTTTGGAGGCAGGTTCTAATTTTTTGAGTCTTTTATACATTCTAGACATTAGTGCTGTGTCCAAGTTGTAGCTGGCAAACTGTTTTTTCCCATTTTGTAAATTATCTTTTCACTTTGTTGTTTCCTTTGAATGTCTCAGACAAAAGGCATAATGCCATCTTAAAAAAGTACTCTGCTACACACAGACAGATGTGTTGCATAGTTGAATTAAAGAAGATTTATATTTTGAGTCAGGGAGGTACTTCTCCACTGATTCTTTCCTCTGGCCTAATTTACTTCGCATGGTTTCTAAGTTTCTCAGACTTTAGAAGCAAGATTATCCAATTCAGATTCTGGCTCTGCTGCTTATTAACTGCTTAATGTCAATCAAATAGTTTAACTTGCCTTTCTGGTGCTTATATTTATACAATAGAGGTGATAATATATTTTCTGTGAAAAGTAAGTGCCTGATTCCTGCTATGGGCTCACAGAATGCTTGTTGCATTT